GTGTCACCATTAAACAAAAGAAGTTAGAATTTGAAGTTAGAATTTGAATATTTTTGGGAGCTTGTCCCTAAAGTGAATGTGCTTTCCATTCCTTGAAATGATTAATCAAACATAGGGAAAAAAAAAAGAAATAAAATGGACAAGTCTTTCTGCAGCATGACCTTATTTCCTACTCTGGATCATGAGCTTATACAAACTTGTATTGGAAAAATTGAATCTGACCTGCCATCAGTGCTGTTTATTTTATCAGAGGTGCTTGTGTCCATACTGAATGTTGTAGCTTCATCTCTGAAGAGCCAGAAAGGAAATCTCTCTTGATTTCTCTCTCCAGAGAATTCTGTTACTGACAGCAGGAGACATGGCATTGCTTACAGCCCAGAGAATTGACTTCTTATCACAAAACCAAATCCACAGCAACTTCAGATTTCTGAAAGTTTGTTTAAGGATAGCAAAGTGTCCACTCAAGTGTAAAATTATTAAAGAGTGGGAAGAAATAGGAAAGATATAGGTAAAACCAAACTTTAAAAAATATTTTATCTTATTTAATAACACTTTTGGAAAGTTAAGATACTGAGGTACATACTGACTCTCCGGTGCTTAATCTAAACTAACTAATCTGAAATAATGCTCTACATATATTTTACACTTGCCTAATTCAGACATTCCATATGGACCTACATGCACCAAAGGTATCTGGGGGAAGCTCTCAAAAGGCAGCCTGACAGACAATCCAGATGGCATCAACCAGACTGGTTTCTTTCCCCTTTCCCATTTATTCCTACAGCCACACTTCAAACTTTCCCTGATGAAACCAAGATGGGACTTACAATTTAACCTGAGCTTCTACATTAACATCCAAGTAAAGGTCTTACATTCTTGCTTATAGTTAAAACTCCAGCGTGTCTTGGGCATGACAGCACCAAAACAAAATCTGCTGAGACCTCTTTGCCAGCAAGCCCAACCTGCCCTAAATGTGACATCAGAGCAGCTGGAGTGCTGCCCAGCTGCCCAGGACTCCTGGCTGCTGTGGCAGCAGCCACGTGCTCCAACACCAGCCCCCAGCAGAGCCTGCTGCAAGGCACACTGCTCCTGGGCTGGAGAAGCAGATCCAGCTCCTGCTACAGCAGGCTGGCAAATTCCCCTTCCCATGAACCTCCCCTGTACCAAACACCTCACACTGAGCAATACAGCATCCTCCAGAATGCTGTGGCTGCCCACGCATATTAAACTGCACAGGGTGTAGCATTTGAGGATCAAAATGACCAAAGAGGACAGACACCTGGTGGCAGCAGCTGATCAGCTCTGAGATGCAGAACATGGGGATTCTCTACATTTAGAACCAATATGCGTTACCTCCCCAAGATAATTTGGGCAAGCTGCAGAGTTCTACAGCCACAGGTTGACAAAGCCTTCAGCCTGCAATATGACCATCCACAGCAAGACCAAGTAACAAGGGACAAGACTTACAGCTGCAGCCTCCTCTGATTTCTGTTATTGTCCCTAAAACATCCATTACAAGTTCTGTCCTGTCCCAGTCCTAATCAGGGGAAGTAGCAACACACTGTGGGGAAGACCTTGGTGTCCCTTTCCCAAAAGGCTTCACATGAAGCCCCTTCTCAAGGCTGCTTGTGTGTCTAGGGGAATGTACATGACATGCCAGACAGCAGCAGTGATTGACTACTTGAGACACTAAGGAGGAAATCTTAACTCAGCCTAGCCCCAGGCAATGCTGGGCTCAGGGGTTCCATTTCACAGTGCAGATATCTAACTCTGACAGCAGAACTGTCACCACAAGTGGGTCATCAGTTCCAGGTATCAGAGGTATCACACTCCCTTTCTTTCCTGAGTTATCTCTCTTACAAACTGTCCACAGCAGCCTTGGACATTTCCCCCTTCCCAAGACAGCTGATTGGTGGCTGCCACCAGCAGGGTCTATTTGCTCAGCCAGGAAGGCAACAGAGCAGATAAAATGAGCAGAGCTGACAGGTATTAGCACCAACACCTCTATCAGCCCAGTCAGGGACACTGGTGATGCAGGCATCTCCTGGTGGTTTGTGGTCAGACACTCCCCAAGGCCCAGCAGAATTGCCAGAGCACCTTCTGTCTAACACCCCCCATACAGGGACTTAAAGGACATTTGCAGGCTCTGTCCACCACCAATGACAAGATGATGGTGATTTTCAGGAAAAGGAAGTGTCAGCAAAGCAGGATCCTACCAACCCAGCTAAGGGTCACTACTTTTCCTAGGACTGACAAGGAACAAAGGCAGTATTCATGAGGAAAGGCACAGTGAAGTGTTGAACTGTGTGAAGACTGTTGTGAAGGTTGTTTAACAAAACAAGCAACATGAGCACCTTCTGAAGATGAGTTCCTCTGCTGTCTTGCAAGAATTACCCTGGAGAAGATGACTGCTTTTCCCATTGGAAAATATTACTTTGTCAGCTGCTATTTATTATGAAAAGATTTCCTTCCCCAGCTCCTGCACCAATACAGACAGATTTTGTGCAGTCATGCAATAAAAACCTGATTGCTTTATGGACTGAGAAAAACAATCAGGCATTCCTCCTTCAAAGTCTTCTCTGACATTCCTACTGAGGGAAATTCACTACTGAGAAACTCATAACAAAAGTCTACCTAAGGAGGCAGCAGTGGGCAGATCAACACCAACAACCTTCCTCCTCCTCTTCCCCCAGACACCTTGTAAAGACAACAGCAGCAGCTCACTACCAGCACCTGTAAAAAAGATAATTCTCTCTACCATTTGCTGCTGGGTGCCAAAGATGGACCTTGAAATCTGAACCAGTAATATCCTAAAGCATTACCTGTAATCAAATAAGCTTGCAATCCAGTGAAGTTTTTGGAAGTTACTAAATTTGGTAGCTACCCAAATGTTTTATATGTCCCATTGCTAGACGATAACATGGAAAACTGATCAAATTATTAAAGTATCTTTTTGCATTTCACCTGTACTTCAACTTGGGTTGTTCTACATTATATTCTCTATCATTTGCATTCTGTGTGCATGTTTCTTTCCCAAATGTGCTTTAAATTAAATAGAATATATGGATTTAAATCAAAACAGGCAGACACAGAAATATGCTGGATGTTACTAAAGACATAGCTCACTGCACTTTTTTTTCTTTTTTACCATCAGCCATAGAAAGCTTTATTCCAAGCCTGATCACACTTTCAGTTACAAAACACGTGGCAAAAAATAACAGTTAACAACGCAAGATCTGCCATATTTCTACTTGCCTCTATTCTTATACTGGACTTTCCACATTGAGGGATGGAGAATAAACCTCTCTCATTTTTAACATAATGAATATACCTAAGGGTAGCAAATAAAGGTTTTTATTATTTTTAATTTTATTTCACAAGTGTTTTACTTTCCCCAAGCCGCCATTTGTTAGTGCAACAAACCGCACAGTGCTAGTTGCTGAGGTATACATGGTTCAACTAATTTCACCTTCAACCCAAATTGCTGTTTTCTCTCATTCTTTTTTTTTTTTAAGTAATGAAAGCCATATAGTCACTATTTCACATGTCTAAAAATAATTTAATTCCACTCTAGACTAAAGAATGGTTTTCTTCTTGGTGTTAATAATGACAGGCTGTAAAAAGCATCAGCCTTATCTTTTATCACCCATAGAACTCCTGCTGTTCTTTTTTTTGTTTTTTTAAATCTATTTTGTGCAAAATTAAGTTCTGTGTAGGTCTGTACCATAATTTGGAAAAAACTGTGTATAAAATGTACTTAATTTTTAAAAACAATCCCAACGTCAAACAACAGAGAAAGGAGAAACAGATCAGAGGCAGCTGAAGTTTTCACATGAGAAACTAAATATAGTATGTTCTTAAAGCTCCAGTAATACATTCTTCCAAAAACCAGAATGCACTTTGGTCATTATTAAACATTAGTACAGAGGCAAATAAAATACAAAATGCTTGTTTGTGTTGCTTTATATATAAAAATATTTTTATACCACATAAGTTTAAGACTCAATACTTCAAATCTTTCAAGATTCTGAACATTAGCAAACATAGGTCAATATCCAGACTCTTGTCAACAATTACTTGTAATTTCTCAGTATGAAGCCAGTATTTTAGAAACAGAAAACATAAGAATACTTGTGCCTCGTGGTATTAATCCTCCCAGAATAATTTCCTTGTAGAAGGAAAGTTTGTTACAAGTTACTTAATTTCACAGGGATGGACGCATTATTTTTGTCACACTGAGGAACCACGAGTCAATATGACTGGTCCTTGTGGGAGGCAGAGGGAGAGGTGTTAGAAAGCCCAGCAGAAAGCACATGGCAATGGCACCTGCTGGGGAGGAATGGCAGTTATTTCAAGACACAAACCTGCCAAACACCCGGCTTTGCAGCTCTGCTGCTCACCAGAGCCACTTGTTCTTTGTGTTTAGTTGTTCCTAAACTTCAATGTGGTATGAATGGCATATACTATAGTGTACAAGAGGAGAGCATCTATCTAGCTATCTTTTACTCAGTCATTCAAAGCATTCCTTTCACCAGTAAATAATTTGCTTGTTTAAATATTCAACTTCAACATATAATACATACTGCTCCATAGTTCACCATAATATATCCCAATTAATATACATTTATATGTATAAAGTTTCTCATTAAAAGTAACAATAAAAAGTGCACATGCACAGTCAGAGCTGCACAGAACAGCTCAGTATTTCAAATAAATACAATATTTAATTTTTATCAAAATATCATACAGCATGGTAACCATTTACAATTATTGCTCTAATAAATGTGTTATCAAAGAACACTTGTTGACTTCTTATGTAATACCTTTTTAACATCCCAGGATATTTAAACTGCAGCCTATATGAGTTTAGATCCTGGAATTACTCAAAATATTAGAAATTGTTTCTAATAGAAAACATTTTTGCTACCTGTCATACTGTATTGTCAGTACTCTATTTTTTCAGTATGTCTCACTTTTCTCACTTTTGGTTGCACTTGCAACCAAACATCTATTGACATTGTCCTCATAAATGACTGGTGCAAATGAAATATTCTAAGCAATTTTACCACACTATCAAAAATCAAATGATTTCCATATAGTGTTATTGGTAACTAAAAATGCTCAGCATTGGCTTAGCTTTAACAACAGAGAGAGCAATTTAGTGTGATCGTATTTCAGGATTTCAAACTCTCAGACACACAGTTTTTGACCCTTCCTAAAATTGACCTTTTCCAGAACAGAACAAGTAATTGGAAAATAAAACATAAATGTCAACTAAAACAAACATAAACCAGTGAGAAGATGAAATAAATACAAAGATTGCACAAGACAGATGTAAACACTTCCGTTTTCCAAATTACTTCCTTGAAGAGGTTGTAGCTTCTGAAATACAGGTTCAGTGGCTGCTGTGAGGCAGTTTTGTCCACCAATGACCTTTTCTGTAACACTGTGTTATTTCATCTTCTTTCTATACTGTCAAGATTTGATCTTCCAGAGCTGGAAAAATTAAGAGCAGGACATAACTTATTTCTCAAATTATTTCTGTTTATCAGAACTGCAATACCACCATATTTTTTCTTACTGCATTTGCTACATATTCTAATAACACACAGAATACATTTTACAGCCATTTATTTCTAACAAGAAAAAGAGAGCAGATGTAAGCAAACTTAATGGCCAATAAAGGCCAATGTGACAACTACAAGGTTGTGCCTCATAACCTGAATCTTGAAATAGCTTCCAGAGTTTGCAGCTCAGGGTGGGCCTCAGAAAGGATCTAAGGGGACAGTCCTACAGTAGTGACAAACAACACTGTAGGACTGGTCACAGCAACACCTTTCCTACTGCAATGCTTCACTGCAGTGCAAGACAAGGATAGCCTGCTCTGCCTGCCTCCCACAAAGAGCTGCAGAGTCAACAGTGAGGAATAAAAAGAGAAATCAAATCTGGGATATGAAGAAAAGTTAAGGAAGGTCTTGTATTTATGTGTACAAATGCCTCCATATGTCTGTCTAAGAATTCTTGTAATTAAGTGTCCTAAATGAAATTACAAAGCCACAATATGAAAAAAAAAAAGTTTTAAGGGCTGCTCTGACAAATACACCATTATTCTTCTGATATAGATTTAATTTAGTAATTTAGTAACAGTTTTCAAACAATAAATCTTCTAGTTAGCCTGGTTAAGAATTAACTATGCTTCAATATGTGTTCCAACTATGATGAAAAAAGGGATGCTTCTCAAGTATTTACCTTTAGATTAAATCCAAGCAAGTCACTGATGACACCAGAAACAGCTGACAGGATGACAACCTGGGTGATGTTATAAAGCAGTGGATTCATTGTAAGCCCATATAACCTAAAGGGACTGTCCAGTTCCTAATAAAGCAAAACAACAGCATCATTAAAAATCAAAAATGACACAAAGGGGGTTTTGTTCACATATGTATTGAGCAGTATTACTTTAGGAAGTCTTCAAGTCCCAGTGGAGCAAAACATTCTCCTATTATTCTGCATATCAAACACAATGTGCAGGAAAATATCCATCACAGTAACTGACTGTTTATTGCTGTTGTCTGAATAACTCTTCAAAAAATTGGAGGCTACCCATGTACAGTACCTACCAACCTGCTCCTGAAGCCAAGAAAATAAAGAGCTAGGTGACACCATCTCCAAATCCCTGACAGCTTTTCAGAAATCACCCTCAGTGTTAAAAGAAGTGACAGGCAGCAGAACCACAAAAAATAAGAAAAGAAAGATTTTTCATAATGACAGAAGGCTACTTCACAACTATGAAAATTAACAAAAATATCTTTCCTATTGCGATTTCCTTCTTTTTCCATTGATTTTGAAACTAACAACTGATTGATATAGCCAGAAAAGGATGACAAAGGAAAAAAAGTTCTAACCATCGTTAGACTGCCAACATTTTACTTTTTTTAAATTGAAAGGAACAAAACTTTAGCCCAAATTAATCTGTAACAAAACTTGAATAAAGAAGCTATTTCACTGATTTTCAATTATTGGTGTGTGAATATAGTCACCCAAACTTTTCTGGCCTAGAAATATGTCAAATAAAGGAAATAAAAAGGAGTTTTAAAATATAAGAGTGGATTATATAAAGTCTACCAACTATCACTGCTTTGGTCATTCATATTTTCTAGCTTTAACTTCATCTTCATCCTTCTCCTGCATTACATCCTGAGCCTTGAAAATGCCCTTATAAACCCTTTCTTAAACATGAAGAATTTCAAAGGTATGATTCTTCTTTCAAAAATGTGAAATAACAATGAACAACCTTTTCATTTGGATGTAATGTTGTATAAAACTCTGCTGCAAATACAAAAGATACAAAAGACATGATTCTGAAAAGGACAGCAGAGAGATTCTGTAAGGAAAAAGGTTTTATATTCTGGATTCATCTTACCAAATTTTTGAGTAAGAAAACAGTAAGAATATTCAACAGAATCTAGTCTTTATAAAGTTTAAAGACCAAAACCACCCAAAATCAAATTAAAAAACCCTAAGCCCTTTTAGCTACTGGACATGAAGTATCACATGAACCACTAACTACCAAGAATTTATTTAAAGCTCCTAGTAGGTGGCTTGAAAATCTCACTTTTTGGTATCTTCTCACAGTAACTAAATGATGGCCAGGGTCTGGGATTTGTGCCACAAAAGCTAAGTTCCCCATTGGAAAAGGCTGACTTTTGGCAAGAGGAAAACATGAAAGCTTTTTTTGAAACACCAAGAAGAGCATGAAAAAAATGGAAGCCATTTAGAACCAGACTTGATCAGCATGGAACCTACCCACATTCTCACAGCACACAAACACTTCAGCCCATGAGGAGTTCATGAGAGCTCATCCTAAACCTGTTGGGCTTTGTCTGTTCTTGTCCAGTCCCTCCCTGAATCCAGATAACCCTCTGTATCCACAGTGCACCTCGACCACCTGATGCACTGAGATTTCCTTCCATTTGCCCCACAACCAGGTCCTGAAAGCCTTACAATCCCTTATTCCTACACCAGGAGACAGTCACTGATGTAGTCAGGTTCTCCTTATTGCTGCAGCACAACTCTCAAGCAGTTGCTCTGTCAGCTCTGAGTCCTTGCTGAGTCCATCAGTCCTCTCAGGAAAAGTGCTTTTCAGAGAGGAGGGAACCAACACATACCTTGCTCAAGGTGAGCCAGTGGGAGGAATTACTCATCTAACTAGAAGAAATACTCTGATCTCAGCTGCTGACTGGCTAAATTAAACAGAATTTTAACTGCATTTTATGGGCTGCTCCCTGGCACATGGGAATCAACAGCCTAAGGGACCTAAATTCAGTGTGTGGTGGAGTGAGGTCACAAGGTCTTAAATCATCACTGTATTGACACTCAGACAATAAAATTTCATCATTTATTTCCCAGGCATTCATCATCCTGACCACCCTGAAGTACCTTCTCTCACACTGCTAATAAACAGCTAAAGAATAAAACTCCCTGGATGTAATAATAATTTGCAATCCAGAATGATGGCAACAAAACAGACTGCAGTGTATGAACAAGCAGCATCCCTATGAAGAGGTACAGAGCAAATTTCAACCAGAGCACACCCTACTGCCTGCAGAAGTCACACAAGTGACTCTTTAACCAATCTATTCTACTTCTTCTTTACAATATGGGAATACCATTTGAATTCTTACCTTCAATAACTTAGTAGCAAGTTTTAAAACATTGTTCACTAGTGTCAGTTCCTCCTTCTTATTAGGCTTTTTCTCCATTTTCAAGTACAAGTTTATCTGATTTAAAACAAAAACACAAGTATCACCACCTACTCAGAATTTAAAGGAATTAATTTTGAACTATTTAATATTTCAACAATGTGATTGCTCAGCAGCCATATGACAAAACTGCAACAAATTTCTGCAAGCAAGCAAGCAAGCTTTTTGTTTCCTTTCTAATATTCAAGAACAAGTACTGGCTCAGCACTATAGGAAAATACAATGCTAATTTATGATATAACAAATTAATTACATTTGACATTATTATAGCACCAAGTTTAAAGTTTAGTCCGATCTATAAATTAGGCACAAAAAACCAACATAGGTAGGGTTTGCATAATTTTTTTTCCTCATTCAAGGGTTACCTGAGGTTTGACAATTCATTCCCAGAAAGCTTTTATACCAGTGGGCAGACCTTACAAGACTTAACATCCTCAAAAGCTATTGAACTGAATGGAATGCTAAACCATAACTCTGCTAAAGTGTAATTTCTTTTAAAAGATTCTGGTGTAATTTAGTATTTCATGAGCACCTCGAGAGCAGAAAAATCAATCTTTCCAGTGCCTTGAAATATTTGAAAAATTATTAAACACTTCATTGCTGTAGGAGAACAGTATATTGAACATTTCAATGCTTCTGTGAAGTAGACTTTTTTAGGTCATTACTTCTGAGAAAGTTAAGAGTTCAAACTAGCTCTCTTTTGTCCTTTTAGCAATTTTGAAACATCAGCTTTCATTCTCAAACAACTCATCTTTGATATCCTACATCAAACAAAGCCTAGGTTTTTTTTCTTTTCTATTGCACAACAAAAGCAAATCAAAGCAAAAAAAGTCTTGAAAAGCCACTAACTTTTAATTTTAGGGTGACAACCTGCAAAATAAAAAATGAACAATTTAGAAATGTGCTGAAGTAGTCCTTCAGATGCCACTTATCTGACTATGCTATGATATATTTCACCACCTCGTTGTATGGAGGTTATTGAAACAAGGGCCATAGGCATCTAAAACAAGTAATTGATTATCAGATCTCCCTAAAAAGACCACTGTAAATTTCTTACACAGGTTAAAAAAAAAATCTATGCCTAATATATTCCAAGGTATATTAAGCTCCTGAACTATTATTATTGCATTATACATTAAAATTCTGCTTTCAGAGCCAAAGAGATTCCAATTTTTAAAGATAAAACTATTGATTTATAAGCAGGACTAACAAAAAATAAGGGCTCTAATTAGCAACTCTGAAAATCCTAGGAAGATTCAAAGATCTCTTTTAAAAGCTATTATGATTTCCTTAATTTCAATAACAAACTTGCCATCAGGAGGAGTGTGTCTGCTCAGCCATCTACCACACCTGCTTTGAGATTCAAAACTGGCAAAATGACAGCTATGGTCTGACCACACATTCTATTTTGCTCACAGATTTACAAGAGCAATTAAAAAGGCTTTCAGAAGGACCTGAAAAATTATAACCAAACAGCATAAAATCAAAAAAATACCTTTTATATTCCCATCATGACTCCTAATCATGAAATTCATAGGTTGAATATAAAGCACAAAGAAGTGCCTGGAACTTTGCTGGCAAAAGTAGAATTTTCAATTTCATCTTATCTGTGGAGCATTTAAATTGCATCAAAGAGTGAAAACTCATTTGGGGTTTTCTTGTTGATGTTGTTGTACTTCCCTGTTTGTTTTCAGCTTTGTTCTCTTCTCCCTAAGCCTAATAACTGCAATGTGCCATTTTCCAGGACACTAGATCAGATGTTCTTTTTTAGATAAAGTATTAGTCAATATTTCAAAAGGCCTGACTTCCTTGAAAAGCCAAAATGTTAGACTTCCATGAGTCTGTCTCAAGACCACTGTAAATATGCTATAGTACCCAGCTTAAGCAATTAAACCAGTCTAAAATGAGTCCTAGCCAGGGTGAAGTGTATCCTTTTCATTTTCTGAGAAACAATTGTGAATTCTATTTTGGTTTTCATTTCATAAAGCTCTCAGGCATTTTTGAGGAAAAATACTTGTAACAGGATAAGCTGCACTCAATGCAAAGCTGTCTGATGACATAACACTTCTTTAAGTTCTGAGGACATACAGAAAGTGTTTCTTTCAATATCCATGCTAGGTTAAAATGCTCAAACAGTGACTCCCAGGAAGATCATAGTATAGAAACCTATGAAAGCAAAATGAAGGCTTGACAATCTCTCTCCCCTTGCTCTTTGCAATTTTTTGCAATCCTTATCCCAAACACTTCCCTCCATTTTCATTCCAGAAACAGCAGACAAACTTCACTGGGACATTCAGCTCTGAGGATCAACAGAACAATGGAAAACTCTCCAGGCTCAGGAACTCAGTTTTCAGACTGGTGCAAAATATCTCATTCAGAACAAGGAAGAGGGGCAGTCAGGCTTCTCAGTGTCCAAACTTATCTTTGGTAAAGGCTGAATGAGTCATTTATTCATCTGTCACAGGCCTCACATCCTGACTTTGGGACACACAGCGTGGAAGATTTTATTCTCCTACTTTAACACATTTTCTGTAGGAAACCTGTGAAGGTTTCTGGAACTGCCTATTTACCTTGCCCTGAAAGGGTTGTTTTGTACCAGTATTTCAGAAGAAAGAGATTTCTTTCTAACCTAACACTACCTGAACATGCTTAACTTGGAAAACTATCAGCAGTGCCAGGCAGAGCACAGAGGGAAGTTTGAAGTACAAACACCAACCAGAATATTCCTCAAAAGAAACACACACAGACCCAAAGACAAGCTTGATAAATTACTAAAAAAAGATTTCCAAGGAGTAGAAGAGGCTACATGTAATCCATGCAACCTAGCAGTCCTAAGGTATTGGACTGGAAACAGCAATTCACTTCATAGAGGTTTAAGTTTGTCTTCAGATCTTTTACTCACCCATCCAACACTGAGATTCCAAGATTTTTTTTTCATATTTAAAAACTATTTTTTATGTTTGTGTTTTGTTAGATGTTAAATTATATCAAAGATGGCACCTCTAAGCCCACTCACTTAAACAGAAGTTGGGATGAAGTCAAAAATTTATCTCAGAAATTGAACCTGGGGTTGCAAAGTTGCTTCACTTCCCCATAATTAACTCCCTAATCCAAACTATTTTAATAAATCTACAAGGCCTGAGAACTACCAGATGAATGAGTTGTTTAGGTATAAAAATGTAGATCTATACAAATTCTCACCTGCTCAGTAAGTAATATTGAGGTATTGCTGTACTTTTTACTTGTTTCAGATCCAAGAGTAACAAATCTTAAGAGAAAAACAGTTAGAGAAATGCACCAAATTACAAGTTCCCAGTTGTAGTGACAACCAAGGAAAATCTCATGCATGTGAAGTAGCTGAAAAAAGAAAAAAAGAGAAAAGAAATCAAAATTTAATTTGAAAAAATAATTACGATACAAGAAAATAGTAACATATCTCCACAACTTCAAGAAACATATCCCAGTAATAAATACATGGAGGGTTTTTAGGCCTATAAAATTTGACTCATAATTTCAAACCAACAGTGTATCAGAGATATGAGCTCTGAGAAAAGATAAAAAAATACATTCTAAGACAATTTTTAACTCTTCTTCAGACTTGCAAAGGTGCTACGTGGGATAAAAAAAAATACACCCTCACATGTACTAAGTTTTATGTAAATTACATTCTTAATAAAATACTTATAGCTAGCTAGCAGGCAAACACAATAAAGGTAGCTAGAAATTGTAAAGACAACACAATCAGAAGCCATTCAGACAATCCTCTATATTTTGAAACAGAAGTTCAAAGACAATCTTAAGCAACAGAAAGTTTCTTTAAACATATATTTGCTTACTAAAAGATTTTCCACTAGAGGGCAGGCCGATATAGCCAACAAGCCTGTTTCTCACAAAAGTCATCAACCAAGGTCAGTATCAACTGTCTTTGCAGAAGTGTATTTTGATGCAAAATGAAGAAAAAAAAAAGTTCCAAAAACCACAATGAAAAATGAAGGAGAACACAGATTTAAAATATAACAGTGATATTACAGAATATCCGGAGCTGGCAGGGATACACAGGGATCACTGATAGAGCCAACTCCAGGTCCTGCACAGGACACCCCCAAGAATCACCTTGTCCCAGGTGCAGAATCCACCACTTGCTCTCATTAGAGTCCACACCACTGGTGATTGCCGAGCCCTCTAATTTGCTGCAACAGAACTTTCTTTTGCTATTACAGAAAAATATTCTAAAGAAGATGAAACGATGATACAAAATGGAGCTGTATTCTAAAAAGCTCTAACAGCTTTTACTGGTTTTTCACTGGGGTCTTTTAACTTACTAGACATCACCATGTAAAAGGCACTCAAAACTGTTTCAAAACTATTTGAGCCATGGCTGTTTCTCTACAAGTAAATTTTCCTCACCTGTGCACAACAGATAAACACAACTGAGATAGTCAGCAGGAAGGCAGATGACACTATCACATCCACCGAGCGCTGAGGACCCCGACGCTGAAAACAGGAAATGCACACGTGAGTGAAACCCACCCAGCCAGCACTGGGATTCAGCACAACTTGTTAGAATCACACAACTACTTAGAACACACAAATGTTCTCAGTGGCACAGGAAAAGGTGAAATACACAAATTTGGTTCCAAGGAAAGAAAGGAAGATATTCCACAAGAGTGCTACCATATGCAGAAATTTAAAACACCCCAACAACATTCTATTATCCAAGTGATGTTATCCGCCTTTCATCCCACCAGCACTACACTAAATTGTGTTTGCTTATAGCTCCTGTTTTCCACCCTCTCCAGCCTCTACACCAACAAAGATTAGTTTTCACTAATCTTTTTCTGTTTGTAAAAACTAGTGATAGAAGATTTCAGGGATCAGAATGTCTTATAGATAATACTTGGGTATAATTTCTAGCTTCACCTGGCACCCATACACTCACAGCACAAATACACAAGAACTGTCTTGCTTTATAAATTCCTTGTGTTAATGACACCAACTGATGAGACTCTTAAAATAAGAACTGTCAGTATTAGACCACATGTGATCACTTTTTACCCAACATACTCACACAACTTTTGAGCTGGCATTACTAAGACAAGACTCCAACTCTGAACATACTCAGGCTTTAAAACAAGGTGAAAACCACACATTAACTTTCTCAAAATCTGTCTGCCTGCAGGCACTGGTGGCCCAGAGTCACAAAAATGAAGCATATATGGGATATATGAACCAATAATAAGTGCACAGGAGGAAACAGCCTACAACACCAACCTTCCATCAGCAGCATAGGAGATATTTTATGTTAGAACATAAACAAGATGTTTAAAATGTATTGTGTTAAAATCTTATTAAAAGCAAAAATATGAATTATTTTACCTTTAGATAGGACCTGAGAGAAAGCCACATTTTTATATTCTGCACTTTCTTTAAGCGAAAGTGAGGTACCTCTGATTTTCTTGCCCTTCTGGCAGATGTGAGATGACCAAAAAGTTTAGCAAAAAGTAGCCTCTGCAGAGAAAAAAAAATTACCTTAGCTGTGAAATGATTTTCAGAGGTACTAAAAAAATAAGAGAAAAAGGCTTCACTAAATATGTCAGTGTAATGTACAACATACTAGTGTAAATTAAAATATGCTAATATAAACCAAAAGTAAATCTAGCATATTATCAAAGAGAGGAAATGCACTAAAACATTGTAGAAGTCTCCACATTCTAATGATTAACAAAATTTAGCTACACTGAGTTCCTTTCTTCAAATTTTAGACAGCAGATCTGCTAAGCTCTTAAAATATGGAAAAAAACCACAAACCTGTCAATCATTTGCATTAGAGAGCACCTATACCACAGAAGTTCATTTCAACAGAAATCATTATTAGAAGTGGGTTAATACCATTCTACCGTATTACACCACATATTTTGACTATAATTTGAGAACAGAAAGTACAAAAATGTTTCTTTTGCAGACCAGTAAGTATTTATATGCTGCAGCTATATAAGGTAGCTCTCTAAAGTTTTAATTCCAACAAGCAATGGAACAGTACTTCAGAGAGCAGCTCTCACCATCTCCAGCTACAGAACTGATCTAACAACAAAGCAGGCAGGGCCTTGGCCAGGGATGGACAGAACTGTTTTGAATGTCCCATCCCTGCAAGTGTCCAAGGTAAGGCTGGATGGGGCTCTGAGCAACCTGGTCTAATGGAAGGTGTCTCTGGAACTGGACGATCTTTAAGGTCCCTTCCAACTCAAACCATTCCATGATTCCATTAATTAAATTGAAGGTTTTGAATGAAACGCACTGGAAATTTATAGAGTTCTTTTCCTGAAGCTACTTCTCCTTGTGGAAGCCTGAAACAAACTGGGACATGACTAAGCATTGGGTAAATGCATTGAGCCAGTTTTCCCCCAGAAATTCTCTCCGGGAAAAAAATAAAATGCCAACGAAAAAAACCTTTTAGCTTCAGAGACTTCAGTCCACTGGAACTGAGTCATCTCCTGAACTGCAAACCCACTGAAGTGTTTGTCATCACTGATCTATGACTCACAGCATGCTGAAGAAAACAAGTTTAAAATAGCCACAAAGTCAAAAAACGCAAACATTAAACCTTGGTTTGTTTTAGATGAAGTCTCTTTGCTTTGCTGCTCATACCTGTTTATATGTTCTCTCTGCTACACAGAGCAGAAAAAAGAAAATCCACACGAGAGACACCCGGACCACAAAACTTATAATAACCATGGAGAGAACCAGAACATCTCCATCTGACCCAAATGCAGTCATGCAGAGCTCAGTGGCAGAGTGTGCTGCGAGTTGTTCTAAATCTTTAGCTTGGAAAAGTCGAAAGACAAAGGGCATTAAACCCAAGATTAAAGATATGACATTTCCAAAAATCTGATAGCCAATTCCTGGTATATGGCTGTTCACCTAAAAACAAAAGAAAACAAGGAGCGTATTTGATTTTTGAATGATTTTGTCATTAATTCAATAAACAAAATATTAATGTTTTTCTTTTATCGCAAAGAACACTTTATAAGCTGGTAAAGTATATGAAAACTTCAACCAATCATCATCCCATTTTATTATTTAAAAACCAGCACTTAATGCACAGGAAACAAGTAATTTAAAAACCCAACAATAAAACACTGCAGCTAAACTCCAGTGCACATTCCTGCATTAAAAATTCACTGAATGCTGAATTAGCCAAGTGGGCCAATCAGACTGGGCTGCTTAGATCCTGTATGCTGCTCCTATTTCTGTTTGGTTTAGGTTGTATCCTTTTTAGTGGAATCAAAGTGCTTACAGTGCAGACAGGCCTGGAGTTCTGTTCTGCTGGCCATGGCTTGCTGAGTTTGTCTCTGCTGTGTCTTGCATCCAAACCTGCAAAGCCTCTGAGTCAGGCAGAGATCAGAACTAGGTTTGTGAATAAGTTGCTTTTTAACAAGTGGGAGAGAGTGAGTATCAACTTGTCAGAACTAGTGAGAGTTTTCTTTGGCTGTGCTTGGTTTTATGAGCAACTCTACAAAATACTCATGTTGTCTATTTTGAAAAAGATCACATCAATTAAATGCATTTCCAACTGATTCCTCAAGAGGAGTACTAGGAAAAAGGAGGGAGGACTAGTGAGAACATCCCACTCATCCTCTCAGAGGTTTGCTTCCTAAAGAGGAAAGCTTTCTTTTCCAATCCTAACTTTAGCATCCAGATACCCAGATCTGTATATTCCTAACCCAATAAATTACTTGTTCATTGAAATCAAGGAGATTAACTTGATTATTCACAACATGTATCAATAAAACTGAGGTTGGCTATGTGAGCAAGCACCTAGAAATGCAAACACCTCTTATTGTCTCAAAACTAAAGACCTGGTAGCTCTTTAATCTAGTAGTAATAAGTAAATCAGAGTGATGTAAGCCATAAAACAATAATGTGAATAACAGAGACTTAAACCATAACACGAACAACAAAACAAACAAATTAAAAAATCCACAACCAACCAATCAAAAAACACCAAAAAACCCACCAAAAAGCCAACCAACCAAAAAAACCCACCCACATAAACCAAGCTTGGTAGTGCTTACACTTCTAAACACAATATTTGCATAAAGTAAAACAAATACTCACTCTGTTCATTATCATACCACTGATTTCAAGCACAGACATATCTGCTTTCTTGCAGTCATTACCCTCCCATACAATTGCACTTATTTTTTCTAGTCCTGGATTCAAACTGTGGATCCAAGGCAAATGACTCTGGGAAAGACAAAAAATATCTTCCATCAGAATTAAGAATCTATATTCATGTCAATATGCCTTTGTCAGAAATATACTAACAAACCCCCTCACCCCCCCAAAAATAACCAGAAACAAAACCAACCACACAAACAAAAAACTAAAAACCACAAATAAAAAAAAACACCAAAAAAACCCAAATCAAAACACTTTAGACTGACACAAATATTGCTATATAGCATTTACGTCTATTATATGTTAACCACATTCCTTAAAATCCTCCCTTTCTTTTCCAAGAAATAGCTGTGAGAACAGAAATCTCTCCTTCTATATACTCCATTTTCTAATAGGGATGAGTTAATGGGATTAAGAATTTATTGGCTTCTTTTTCACTCAAATGTATCAAAGAAGAGAGAAATATGAAAACAAAGTTTTACTTATGAGTCATTTTTAACTCTGACACATTTAATGAATTTATTTCATTTGTTTGCCCCTAACATCTTGAAAAGCACTCTTCTCAGGTTTTTTCAGGGAAACAGTTTTTTATTATTTGCTCCTAATGACTTCAAAATCCTTGTTCTGCACAAAGACCCCCCTGTGCACACTGGATCTGGCCAGACTCAGAGAGCAGTAGGTGTCTAATCAATACAAGCAGCTCCTACAGCCAAGCAATCCGAGGTTAATCTTCTGAATGCACTCAGGGCTCAGGGACCTTTCTTTCAAACCACAGAGCCAAGTGAGAACTAAAGGATATGGAAAAATGTTGAGGTGACAAATACTGCTGTGGCCATTTCTTTATTTTCCTCAGCCCCGTGTCCCTCCTCCCCCTTTCAGGAGATGGAAATTGATTTCAGCTTGAGTCACCTGGCTCTGTGTGCATCACACTGCTGGAAGTGCTGCTGCTGGCAGGGGCAAGGGCATGCTATTATTTCTACATTTTAATTATCACTGATTGCAAGTAAAGCTTTATTTTCATTTTATTGCTTGTTTTGTAAGTATTGATCTGAAGTATTTGTAATCTTTTGAGTACTCAATTATCTCCCTTATTTCTACCGGGTGAAGAAGAAATTATTTATAATATTAAAATAGCATAAATATTTGTTGCAGGTTTTTCTTAACCACAGTTTTCCAAGCTCTCCCTCTAGAGGGAGTACCAGCACCAGGAGCTGAAACTCAAAAATTTACTATCTGAAATCAGGTAGAAAAATTCTCAAGTGGTCAAAGCAATATAAATCCTTAAGTCAATATATGTACTGTAATTCAACTCACTACTGCAAGGTTAATGTTCTATTGAATGCAAGCAGGAAGAACTAAAAATAAAAATAGAAAACACTGCATGAAATAATCCAAATTGCTATTATAAACTTTAAGGTTAAAAAACTATAATCAAATAGAATTTAGGCATGTCTAATACACCCAAGATATCATTTATATATATATGCATATACATAAAGCATATGTTATCCTTCTGTTTGCTTTTCTTATATATACATTTCCAAATAAGCAAACAGAAAGGTGTCTGGTAAGTGCTTATAAAAAGCAATTCCACTAGAGAAAAACAAAAGGGAGGAAAACCCACCAAAATCCAAACAACAAAAAATTAAACAAAACAAACAAACAAAAAAAAGTGGAAAAAAAACCCCAAAAGAGAAAAATAAATACCCAAACAGAACCACCTATCACAGAGGAAACGTAAATCAGTCAGTTCTTGCCCTAAATTAGAATTAAGACTCAAGCACTCAAATATTCTATAGGCTATTTTGATATATTGTCATACTCTCTTCTTTTGAAAAACTAATGACTGAGTAGCAGAAATCAAGTTTTACTTGTTTTAATTCTACCAAATCACTTTGGCTTTGTTACTTCCATCTGATATAGGTCCCTCTCCCAGGCTTTCTGTGACGTATGAAAGGTAACGCTGACCTTGTGTGTAGTGTAAAAAACCAGAACTGGTGGGTACCAACCTGATGGAATGGGTCATCTCTGAATTCTTTCTTCACACACGGGTTCACCTGAGGGCTCTCCACGTCTGTCTCGCTGGTGCAGGATGAGTGGCACTCAGCACAGTGCAGGAGGTCCTCCCACAGCACATCTTCTGTTTCTGACTCTGGCCTTGTGCTCTCAGAGTCTTGTCTGGAGCTGGAGCACCGGGAACTGCAGCTGGTACCTGATTTAGGTGTGTCCTGAAAGCCAAACATCCACTGGAATTAATGCTGATGCTTTATTCTACATCATTTCCTGGCAGAGATGTTTTAAAGGTCAGATTAGTGAATCTGTGTTCATCTGGATTTTTAGGTTCTAATCCATAATCCTTGTCATCAGAAAGATTTGTGTGTTTATTGCAAGTGTGTCTAAGATGTTGCACATTTTAAGATACTGTACCAAAAAGCAAGCAACGGTCCATGGCCTCTGCTTTTTAGTTAAGTGGTCACATAAGGAAGAATCTAATCATACTCATTATTAAAAGGAAATAACTACTTCACAGATTTTTAGAGCTCATTAGTTTAGAATTTAATAGCAATTATCAAGCCACAGACTCCAGCTATATCTCCAGCTTCTGAGGAATTGCCCCTAAAGTCCCCTAAAGTCACATTGTTACTACTAACATACCTTCTTAAGACAGAGTGGGTTTGAAGACAGTAATGCATCAGGTATAGAGGGGGGAAAAACAGCAAGGGTACACATAGCTAATGCCAGGTTTATGTGTAATCTGCACAATTAGACCTAAAAATTTAATTATTTTAAACAAACTGCACTTGACAAACAAGTATGCCTTTGTAAACTCCACTTTGACACAGCTCTTGTATAAAGAAAGAAAAATCTGAAGTTTGGGACATTCAAATCTCCCAATGTATACACATGAAACAATCTATTGCTGTCTTCAGAAAAACAATGTAGAGTTTAAACTACTTCTACAACAAAATTCTACAATAAACAGAATCCATTTCCAGAAGACAGGGGTGTAGAATTAAAAGCAGCATCAGCCTACTCACTGCCATTCTCTGGCAATTTCCATTCCCTCTTAACACCAAGTTTATCTCTACTAATTTCTCTTGAGAACATACAATTTTCTACACTGAAAAAATATTAAGCACTGTTTCAGCAGACATACTAACTTAGTGTGATTCACAGTCCATTACTATCTGAAGAAATGTTCTTCATTCTTTCTGAAAACCATGTTTAATGTACTTCATGCTAATCATTTTGTAAAGAAATGTTTAGAAAAAATTTGGTCTGAACTCTTTCTCCACCTTTTACAAAGACAGGGATAACATCAATGCAGAAAAAGTCTGAAATTAATTTTTTCAAGCAAAAAAAAGATACTTATAGAAGGCAGTCACTACTGGGTACCAGTGAGGCTGAAGTTAATAAAGTACGAACATGAAAAATAGCTTGCTCAAACAACAATTAAGGAGACACATAAACATGAAGATAAAAGAAAATGCAGAACAGAATTTGAGAGTATATCCACAGACTTCACTTATTAATTTTTTTAATACAAAGAAAGCTTTCACTGATTTGAAAACTATTGTTTCATTTTCTTTGTAATGGTGTGGGGGAGGCGAGTTGGGAGCAAGAAAGAAAAGCTTCCTCTTTCATTGCATCAGTCAGATCACTGAACAGGGAATAAGTGTAAAACAGTACTGCCACAGCTAAACATGGATTACATTCTGTCTCTAGCTTCTGAAGGTGTCTACAAAGTCTTCCCCAGCTTTGAAGCACTCTGCACTAGAGAAAAATATATCTAAGCTGAAAAACCAAAGAAATCAACTGTAATGGTGGCATTCTGCTTTCTCCTGTGAAGCACTATGGCTGCACAAGCACACACTGAAGGGACATCTTCTCTAACATGAAACAAACAGCGCCATTATCGCAAACCACACATGGCAAAAGGCACTAAATGCTGACCTCAATCAACATTCTGCATCTTTCTAACCAAAGTCTGCAAGAAATTAGTGAAATAATAGTTTATTTAATGTTTTTTTTATGCAAAGCATCAACTTCAAGGCCTTGCAGTTGTGATCAGAGCAAGCAGTATCTGAACCCTTCCAATACACTTTTCCTATAACAAGCACAGAGTTTACTTATGAAGCTCTGCCTATCAAGCCCATCTGTCAGAGGACTTTTGTCAGTGCTGATTTTATTCTTTGCCTTCTTTGCTTAACCTTTGAGAAAAAATAGCAATACAGCCTTTAAGAAGTGTTCCATATCTGTGAAGCTGCATACCATTAGCAAAACAGCATGATTTTTTAAAATAATGAATAAATAAGCAAAACCACACTAAGATATTCCATTCTCTTAGAATGTCTGAGTCCTTACAATTCAAAATTCTGCTCACATGAAATCTGTGAAGTCCACTATTATAAGCTGTAATGTCATCAAGTCTCATAAGATTTTGGTATTTTTTATACATTGACCATTTTGGTAAAATTTCAAAACAAGATTTAATATTATTGTTTCAAGGAAGACAAGGAAATGAAAATTCAGAGTCAATCAGACTTTTCTGTAAGAAAGTGAGTGGATCCAAAATACTAAATGGAGAGAAATGGGAGCAGAACCATGCTGAAAATTTGCAAATCCCCAATTACTACAGTTTCTGTAACAAACCAAATTTCCAGAGGAGATAACTGGTGTCACAGGACAGTAACAGAGTTACCATAACCCGATGCAAAATCTACCAAACATTTTAATTCTCCTTACAACAAACTGAAAAATATGATGAAGCTCAAAAAAACTAGATTACAGTCTGTTCATTTCAAAACACTGTCATTAAAGAAAAGCAAAGGAAAAAAATTGTGTTCCTCACTAGCATGACTTCCAACTCACAGACTCCTAAAATCCAAGATAGGAAAAAAAAACCCATTTGTGGAAATGCCATCGTTTAACTCCAGCTAGCAACCAAGCACATGCAAGCTGCTTGCTCTATATGCCTTACTCAATAAGAAGTCAAGTTTTTTTTCAGAACTCACAGGCAAGAAGCAATAGAAATGAACCTACCTCCAGAGGGTAGTGTTTCTTGTAATGGTGAGATTTCCTGTTCCGAAGGGTGCAGTCGCTGGAGGTGCGCTCTGCATTGCGGCGTAAGGAATAGCCAGTGTCAGGCCCCTCCTCACTAGAAACTTCATCTGATAAATTTGTCACAGTCCTGGGAGTATCCTAGGGCAGGAAATACAGTAGTAGTAAGACAGAGTAATATTTAATAGGTCTTGTTCTCAACTAGTGAAATCAAATTTCTTTCTACAACTTCAGTATCTACGCTCAGTTAAACCAGATATGAATGCGTTTTGAGGACTCAAAATTGACAGAGCAGGAATTATGGAATAGGAATTGTAGCATCAAAGATATTTTTTTCAAAGGAAAGCCTATTTCACATTAGCCTCAAGAAAGATTATGATGCTCTTATTTTAAATATGATTTTTTTGTAAACTGAACATGCCAAGATATGCTTAGAGAAAATGTATCTGCTTCTGAAAAGAGAACAAACCTAACCAAAATATCTAAACCAACCAACCAGTCAAAAGCAACAGTATAAGACTGAATTATCAACATATTCAGTACAAAGTTAACATTTACCACCTCTTACAAGGACGAAGGTTTAGAGGATGTATGTTGAATACTGAGGTCACTAATGTGTGTTACTTTGAATACAGGATATCCAGGAGATAATAACACCCAGACAAATTAAAAGTTCTGCTTTCTTCCATGATCACTTCCTATGATTCTATTATTCCCTCTCATTCCTATTCCTCACTATAGAGAGTCCTGCCTATTTCACTTGGAGGGAAATCCTGCCTTCCTCATCTTTCACACAGATCAATTAAAAACAAAAACAAAACAAACAAAAAAACCCCACCAAAACACCCCCCCACAAAAAAAACCAAAGAAAAAAGGAAAAGGAAGCCGATTCACAGGCAAAGAAATGCTCAGAAGGACCTTAAAACTACAAACTGTCAGTAATCCAAAATCTGTTCCATTTTATCACAGAGACAGACCATAGATGCCCAGACTCTCAGAGAAGGCACAGAACTTTTACCTGGTCAAGAAATACCCACAGATAAAGGACAGCACACAAATTTGTGCATTGAAATAAAAAATACCAAAAAATGTTTAAGCATCATTAAGGTTCCTCCTACAGGAAAAAGGCCAGGAATATGATGAAGTAAGGCAAGTCGCTATAAGTTTTGGCTCCAGGACCCTAAGCCTAATTTCATTTTTAAAATATTTTTAAGAATAAAGCAGATAAAAATGCATCCAAAGCATCACAAAAAGCAACAAACACACTTACTTTGTGGTGACTGTGGTTGCCCAGGGCATCTCTCCCTGTGGCAGGGCTCCACCCTGTCTCCTCTGGCCTGATCACCTCGCAGCGGCGTTCATGGCCCTGCACTCCTTCTTCACTGCCTCTGCCTGGCTTCTTCCCATCAAGGGACACGTAGCCATTATCAGTTTCAGTGGATTTATCTATTGAGTTTTTTGCTTTCTTAGATCTATATTTAAAACAAATACATGTATTAAATTAATTATTCTCTGAATTATTTCCCAGTCTAAATCCTGCTTATTCCTATCAACCAATGTTTTAGCTTTACTAAGATGTCCACAAAATAACAATATTAACATTTGATTTTGATGCTATATTTGTAACTATTTAATCTTCTAAATAACACCCATTATCCTCTCTTAAAATTGTTATAAAATAAACTGTCAGGGTATGAAAGAAATGTGTATCCTTAGGTACTGAAAGAAGAGAAAAAGAAACCTGTTTTAAAAATAAAACTTCACAGCAGCTTTGCTAATGGAAGAATCACAAGCGTCAAAAGTGAAAGAGAAATCTCTCTATTTAATCTTAATAAAAGAGGTTTGCTAGAAGTTGCTTTAATAATTATTAATTCAAAGCAAGCATGCAATTTCCTGAAGCTGCAAACAAACATGCTGTTTAGTACTCTGTACACTGATATTTGGTGGTGTTTTGAATATACTCTGCTTACTGACAACCCTCCTAAACAGAAGGGGATCTACTCTTTGCTGCATTATCCAGCAACACCCCAGGCAACATTTTTCCATATCTCTTACAAACATACCAACTAAGCTGCTTTTTAAAGGACAAAATCTCCAGGATTTTAAAGGACAAATCTCTCACTGAATAGTCTCCCATAACATCCTCTAAAATCAAAGCCCTTTCCTAGACAATAAATGTAGCAGCAGACTATCTCCTGCAAGAAGAAGCTCTCTCAAAGCAAACATTTGGATGATTACAGTCCCACACTAGAAAGTGCAGTGGATGAAGGCATAAAGAGGAATAGCAGCTTGCTACCTTACTGACAGGGACTTCTAGTCTTAAGCTCCTCTATTGTCAAAGTAAATTAAATTTTGTTTTTTAGATATTCAGAACACTAAGTGGGAAAAGAGAGGAAAGAAGACAAGTGTCATAAATAATGCTTCTGAAATTTTTAATTTTTATTTCAAGTAGAGCACTGGGCTATCAAGAACACTGAACTATCAAGAATCTGTTCAATTGATCTGGTGCTCCTGTGAGGGAATATGCACTGCCTTTCTCTTTAAGGACTGAGGCATTCTGAGAGGGCTTGGATTACACAGCAGAAGATTAAATTCCTCTTTAATATGTACATCAAACAAATTGGGAGAATTTGGAGAGTCGCTTCACATTCCTTCCAAGATAAGGTATCCCACACATAAAGGGGAGTCCTGAAAGCAAAAAATGGCCAGGGACAGCTGGATAAAATAGGGAAAAAATCCAGAAAGAACCAATTCAGCTCACAAAATAATGGAATAAAGGGATGCAGACAAAATGATCAAGAGAAGAGGCAGTGTTACTAAGGTGTTTAATCCTCCTTTCCCAGCTTTAATTTGTCACCCTAACTAAGAAAAAAGTTAACATTTATAATTCTTTTAAAGCAAAAGGACTGCCTTTCAGTGGCAACTCATTGCAAAATAATAAGCAAGGTCAGTTGTGAGTAATGAGGAAGAAGCACTAAAATTAAATTATCTGCAATAAGGAGGAATCCAGATAATCTAATCTGTAATTCATTAAATATTCCTCCAGCACTTCTGCATTTACTTCTGCACTGTTTGAAAGAAAATTTTAAGTTCTCATCACACACACATCCAGTCAGAAACACTTCCTCCACAAGTTACTAAACTATATGAACAGATTAACGAGACAGCTCTTCCAAATTTGATTTGAAAAGTTTTTATGCATTTTACACAAAACTTTAAAGCTAGAAGTAGCCTCAAACAGTTGAAAAGGAACAGATAAGAGAAAAGAGGAACACTTGCATGTATGCACAACCTCTTCAGATGGGATTTCACTACTCAAGCAATGTTTGAGTGCTGAAATCATAAGACCAAAGCTACTGGTCTGGTATCAACTAAGGCTCATTCTAAATATCAGGGAGCTTGACTGAAGTCTTTATTTGCTTCTAACAGAAAAACTAAAGTTATTTTTTTGTATAAATTTAAGTGTAAGCCTCAAGCCAGAAAAGTGTATATTGGGCTTAAAGTTAGGCTTTTGTGCACATGTTTTAAAGAAAAACAAAACAAAAACCCCCACAATAATAAATACAAACAATATATCCCTTGCTGGCAAAAATGTATGGTTCTCTAGAATTACTATATATACATACATCCTTAATCAATTTTAGGCTATAACTAAAAGTATTTAGAGTAAAACAACGAACACCAGGAGTAAATACAATGTCTTAAAAGGCTTGAATATATGCCAAAAGCTAAATCAAGAATGACTTTTAGTCCTCTTCACGCATTATCAAGCGAAAATACTAAAGAAAAGTTCAATAAAATTTCTGAAAGAGTGTGGATTTGCACTCTCATGTATTCAATATATTTCAATGTATTTTCATTGGGGTTGATCAGAAAAATTCTTCTCTCTGTTCCCACTGTAAAACTTTTCGAGATTACAACACTTTAGAGGTTATAAGACTTCCACTGGAGTAAGGACACATGCAGAGCAAATTCTGAAATCAGTACTGCATTCTGAACAGATCACTTGCTTGGATACCACCCTCTTTTCAAGTAAGACTTATCAGTAGTATTTTCTAAATTGCCCCTGTGCTGGATTAAAGTTTAGAATTATAATTTTTAAGTCAGGCTGAATTCTGCCATTGGAAAGGATATTTATTGAATACACGCTTCCAGTTTACTAATGATCTGAGCACAGGCAAATGGTGTAGGTACACAGGGTCCTGCCCTAACACAGAAAATTTAATTTCTGAGGTGAATTTGAATGACCTATACTTAAAATTCCAGAAAACAGTATGTCAAAGATTTTTGTAAGTGCAAAACTGCTGAAAATAAATACTCAGCAGACATTCTATGTACGACATTTTAATGTGCTTATCTAAAGAGCTTCCAAGTTTGTCCTAAGAAACAGGCCAAGTGTAGCTGTGAAGCTTCCTTGCACTGAGATTTCATAAGATTTTCTTTAAGGAACCTCACCAAGCAGTCAATGTACTCCACACTGTGCTCTTGCTTCCTCATTCCCAGCCCCACTCCCATTGTGCTGACAAACTGTTTGTATTACCATGAAAAAAATTACACAACGAAACTGAACTGCATGTTCCCCTGGGGAAAAAGAAGGTTATTTTTCATCTAGACAAGTTTGTATGGCTCTAGACATACAAACAACTGTGCCTCTGCAATGAAGGGGTAACAAAGGACTAAGGGCTGTTTACAGCACTCTCAGTCACTCTGTGTTCTTCTTCCTTTGAAGATACTGTATATACTAAGTAGTCATCGTGGAGGCTTAACATCTATATATATACACACACTACCACTCATTAAATGGTTTAAACAAGTTTTAGAATAAGTTCCACACAGCCCTTCTCAACTGAAAATACTCTGAGCCACATAGCAGGAAAGGAAAGGAAAAAAAATAGTCTTCCAACACTCTTCTTACTGCAGAACAGTATCTTCAATGAAGGGAAAACAAAACATCAAAATGTTTACAAGATTACCCTTGAAGCATGCCAGAGAGTAATGCCTACAGACCCTGGTGCCTATCACTGTGACCCAAAGACAGCTTAACCGACACAGAAAAAAGTCAGATGAATTCTCCTCTTACAACACTTCTAAACATTTTTAAAACTTGTCCAAGGTTTCAAGTGTTCACTCCCAGAAGGTAACATAAGTTTTACCAGTGGTTAAGAGCACAGATCACAGGTATGACGGACACGTTAGTGTTGCTGTATTTACAATGCAGCATGCACAACAAAACAACGTCATAACTTGCATTATCCCTTTTCTACATTTAATACTATTTATTGAGTATATTTTCACTAATTAATACATGCTGATACATAGCACTCAAAATGCTGCATGCATAGCATGTCTTGCAAACAGAGCTATAGAATGGGTTTTTAAAAAAAAATTTAATAGCCCAATCAGTGTTTATTGGAATCCTGAAGAAAAAGTGTGTCACTTGATGACAGTGACAGTTGAATAAGCATTCTCTTGGCGTAACAAGGAGGTAATGTAATACAGTAAAATTAAACAGCTGAATTTTTCTCTTTGGATTAAAACTGAGACACTAAGTTGGTTTTTTTTCCCCTGATAGCCTACACGGTGCAGTAAAACAACAAAATATAATTTAACTAGAAGTTAATTCCGTACTCTGCTCTCATGAGATCCCACCTGGAGCACTGTGCTAAACTCTGGGGCCCCCGGCATGAGGAGGACATGGGACTGTGGGAACAAGTCCAGAGGAGGGACAAGAAGATGATCAGAGAGCTGGAGCACCTCTCCTGTGAAGACAGCTGAGAGACCTGGGGCTGTTCAGCCTGGAAGAGGCTCCAGGGAGACCTCTGAGACCTTCCAGAGCTGGAGAGGGACTTTTTACAGGAGCAGGTAGTGATAGGACATGGGGCAATGGTTTCAAATGGAGAATAGGAAAGTTTAGCTTTCAATATTAGAAAGGAATTATTAAGTGAGGGAGTGGTGACAGTAGAACAGTCTGCCCAGAGAAGCTGTGGCTGCCCCCATCCCTGGAGTGTTCAAGGCCACACTGGATGGGGCTCTGAGCAACCTGGTCTAGTGGAAGTTGCCCCTGTCTATGCCAAGGGGGGAGAACTAGATGATCTTTAAGGTCCTTTCCAACCCAAATTATTCTATGACAATTCAATATTTTTTCAAAATCATTGCATCAGCATTTACAAAAGTCAAGAAACAACAGATTAGACCATTCTCAAATACTCAGATGAGTTTGCTATTAAGAGCAAAAACTAGATCAACAGACGTTTAATCATTACATCAATATTTACTTAATTAGAAAAGGGATAGTGCATCTCTAACACTTATGTAGCCTTGAATAAATACAAACCCTGATAAAAAGAAAGCAGCATGCCAGATATCTCTGAAGACAGCGCCAATACTGCAAGAGGTGCTTGTACCGTAGCTCTGCACTGTTCCCTCCTGTGTGTTATCTGTGGTACTAGAGCCATCTCCTTCCCTATGTACTTCCAAATGTGCTGCTTTCCTTAATTTCCTTCAGCAGAAGAGATTAAAATGGGAAGGTAGTTTTGTAAGTGCAATCTGCTAGTTTTATAATGTGTTCAGCAGTTTAAGCATGCAAAAACAAGCAAGATTTCAAAGTATTTTGCTAAAGAATTGTCATATCAATTTAATAAACTCTAATTAAAAAGCATGATACATTCATTATTATATACTTAAACACAAAACACATTTCATTTCATCATCAGAAGCTTAGACCCACAAAAGTCACAGCTGCAGTGTTTCCCATTTTAATGGGACAATTCACTGCAGCAAATCAGTCAGTGGAGTGCTTGGAAGACTTAAATTCTGCATTTCCAAGAGCATTTCTTTTCACATATACTTTCCACAGATTATTAGCCAGATTTATAAAAATAAATTTGAATATAAACACTGTCAATCCACCACTATTCAGATAACTGTTTTGAGACAAAATGTCAGATTGAATGCATTAAAATTCAAATAAAACTGCCTAAATTAGTCAATGCATAAAAGTTAAAGAGCGCCAATTAAGCACAATTTTGAAGTGTCAAATAAAAACAGAGCAACAATTTCTCATCTCCAGCAAAGCACAGACTGTAAACCCCTACATTTTTTTTTCATGCACATTCTCTACAGTAGTTTAACAGTCCTAAATGTAAGTCCTAAACACAGACTATAAGTCTTTCACTAAAGTACTTTAACACAGACTATACCTTCTTCTTTTACCCCCTGTGCTGGGAGGTGGCTTAGGAGTTCTTGTGGAGACAATCTGACAGTGCACAGTCCCAAGCAGCAACATCAGCCATATTGGCCCAATGACTTCAGTCAGAGGTATATTATGTGGGCTTTGGGCTGTACAGAATAGCACTACAGCAGCAACTGGAAAAGAAGGGAAATGAAGATGAGTTTAATGTCTGAAATGGCCAACTCATTTGGCTTTTGTCAAAAACAAACCAGTCAGATGCAGACCTTTACCTGCATTTTAAGCCAATGCAGGTAATTCTGAGAGAACAAAATTATTATTTTCCTGAAAACCAGCAGCAATTAGGGTCTCAACAGCTGACTACTGCCTTAGTACCCATCTTTTCTTTCATACTTGTGATATCATAGGTATTGCTCAAAAAATGGCTGAATCAAATAAGGGGGGAAGAACATTTGGAAAGCTGTATCTGTCATGAAACCACTTCAAATATGGTGAAACATCAGTAGGAGACAAAACCAAAAAGTAAATATCATCCTTAAAGCAGCCCAAATAAATTTAATTCTGCATCATGTGTTATGACAAAGCACAACCCAGTGAGTTTGAAGAGACTTGAGACTAGAAACTCCTTACACAGCAGAATGAATTTAAAACTCCATGTCCCAGCCAAGGGACAAAATTGCCCATATGGATGGGCAGCCATGCATAAGTACAACCCTATAAACATTCTATATATACTTCTGTGCATCTTTTTTAGCAGTGAGGAAAGATCAAAAGACAAACCATGTAAACTATGGGGTAGTCCAGCTGAAGTGACCAAGGCTCCAACTAGCACTTGTGGCTGGAAAAAGGGCCAGCTTCCAATCCCATGGCTAACTGTTAGTTTTGTAAGCCTATAACCATTTTCATATACAGCCAACAACCAGGCTCCTGCACCCAGAGCCCAAACACTCAACAACACCTCTGCAGGCTCCAGGTCAACCTGAACACATCCAGCAGGTATGAAGCAGGAGGAAAAGGCAACCCCTCTCATCTCTGCTTACTCTGTCCTTGCTCTGGCTTGAAGAGCTGTGATGCATAACTCAACTGAGAGGAGCTATCAAGAAAAAAACAAAACCAAAGCAAACAAAAAACCCAAAAAAACCACCCAAAAATACCCACAGAAACTCCAAGAAACAATTCAGAAACAGATCTGGGAAACAATTCTCTGTGCCTAACATCCGCACATCCCATGAGAACTTGGTTTTGTTTGTGCACTACTGAGAAGTGAAAGTCCCATAATTTAGACCTATTTCTAGCACAAAGAATTACAAGTTCAAGAGCTGTCACCAGTTCTCTAGTGAAATTGACTGAAAAAAATGCAGCCACATACAAAGCTGTGTGCCACATTCAAACATCTAAAATAAATCCCATGAACACCTAACATAGCAGATAACCTGGATGGAATGTTCTCCACTAAAAACAGGTTTGATATGTTTTTCACTAATCTTTAGCAAGGTAACCAGTATTAGAAACATAATGAACACACAAAACAATTTAATAATTTTTGATTGTGGAAAAACTAATTCTAATTTCTCCTCTTTTTCCTAAATTAAAGCATGAGAGCTTTGCATGGAGCATTCTTTATTACTATAAATGAAGTACATTATTGCTGTATAAGGTTTCTCAAAGACTACATGCAATGAGAAATCCAACTTATTAAAAATCAATAAAATAGGTACAGATAGCAAAAGTTAATGTTATCTCTTTCTAAATGAGCTTAACTGAGTTCCTCACACATACAATTAGCTCCATGAGGTATAAAATTGAAGAAGGAGCTGATTTTGGCTCCCATCATACAATTTGGATAAACACATAAGCCCAATTTGAAATGTTTTGCAGTAGTAGGCCTACACAAAATAATTTTAAAATTCGCTACTGCTACTTAAAAACATTAAGTAAAGCAGAGCTGTCAGGAAGAAATCATCTTCCAGAATACAAGAATCTGCAGATTGTAGATTCCTAACACAGTGTTTCACATACATTTAGAAAAATATTATCCATCTCCTGATCTTTTTTAAGTACATTAGGAAGGAAATTCAAGAATTTATCTCTGCACAGTGTGACAATACATTCTAGATCAGAGTATCCAACAATTGCTCCTACCAACAGCTAGGCAGAATTGGTTGGAACAGGATTTCTTACAGCACTTTTAATTATTTCTTTATGTATTTTCAGTATTTTGATCTCTGCTTTTCTAAAACACAGTGGCTCATTTTGTAAAACAGACACAAATGAAATAATATCACATTGAATAAAAGCTGCCTCAGAGAAAGCAACCTTACATTTCAAAGGCCAACAAGCATTTCTTTTTAAAGCATTTGGAGTTTGAAAATATTTTTAATGCCGAATTTAAAAATGTATACATATATATTTATATATCTCACCACCACAACAAACAACCATTACATCACTATTAAAGTTTCTTGCTTTATACTTAAGAAATACACAAGAAACAGCAAGTTTGCATTTTATTTTCCCCTTAGAATATAAAAACATTTTAAGTTAAAAATGAGGTATTACTATATACTAGATAGATAAGGAAGTAGAAAAGAAAAGGTTTTACTTCTATCTTAAGTCACTGGCCTGTTCCATGACCTTGAGCATAAAACATTTCTCTGTAGTTCTCTTATCACACAGGGTGCTAATCACTTTACACTAATGGAAACCAATGCAAATAAACCCTGGAGTTTAAATCTATAGCCAAGGAAAATGTTTTTTTCTGTAGATTTACATAAATGCTAGCAAGTACCCTGGCGAAGCTAATCAATTTTAAAGCAGTAATTCCAAGCAATGAAATTCATAAATCTACAGAAAATACTTTTGGTAAATTATTTAATTATGAACACATACAAATGAAATATAGCCAGACTATTTTACAACAATGTCAGTGAGAACCTGTCATGATGACAGAAAGTCCAAACTTCCATACAAAATCCAGATTCAGGGCAGAAGTCTGGCCACTAGAATTCAAAGTAGTTTATTTTAATCTTCCATCATGGATTCTTGATATTTTGGTGCTGCCTTACCAATCCTGTACAAAATTAGTAACTGAGTACACTTTCTGAGTAAAATAGAAGCAAACCTTCTATTTAAGTGCTTGGGGGGCTGTTTTGAGTTCCCATTAAGTAAATATGTCCATTTAATTTCACTTAGATGTTTATTCTAAGTCTTTTAATTTATTTCAAAAACCATCAAAAAATCTGCAGCTAATTCTGCACAGCTTCAATACCAAGTATTTCAAACAGTTGGGTTATAGTGTAATATGGAGTAGTATTCATTATTTCCTGCTATTTGTTAACTCACAATCACAGAAATACTTTGTCACATAACAGACCATGTAGATTAGGGAAATGATGCATTCCATCCACAGCTTAGTAAACCAGAGACCCAAAGAAATCAGAGGAAAAAGGCTAGTTCTAAGAAAGCTCTGTAATCAATGTCCTAAAAACTTGCTTGCACTCAGAAACCTCATTGTCTCACTGTTTTTCTACCTGTAGGGTCTTACAGAGGGGCCACAAATTAAGTGCCAGTATACATTTTTAAAAATAAATTTACAAATAGGAACACAAAAAAATTACTGCAATGGTGTTTCTCAGAATAAGACACACATGAACATGGTAACAAACCAACCACAACTTAGGTATTTTACTACCTATATTACTATAAAAAAGAATAGAATTATTAACACTATAGGATCTCTTACCATAGCACAGACAAATGAGGAATCTATCTCAGAAATGGGGATAAAAAACACTTTTCAGAGAAGGCCACATGAGTATTTTTTAGTACTGCAGGTCTTGAGGCACTGGCATGGTGAGATTAATTTTACACCTGCTAATAACATCACCACACAAGAGGTAGTGCCTTCTTTTTTTAACTCCATATATTGTTCCAATTAAAATTTCCAAATGATACAATGATTCACAACTGAGATGACAGATGGTGAATTTGAAAAAGTAATATTGCATGTTAATTGGATTTCAGTGGAAAATTCATTAGTCATTTAGCTTCTCAGGGTACTTATATTGCTCCCAACTTTCATTAACCTTCTGTTCCATATCTGTTGTACAAACTTCTGAAATACTTATTTGTTTGGTGACTTTCATACTGATAGACACTGACTCACTACATGACATTCTTCCCTTTCTAATTTTCCTCTTATGTGTCACATACAATTAAGGAACTCACAAAGTCAGATTGCTAGAACTCAATACTATATATCCCAAAAGCTGTGAACTGACTTCTGTTTGTTAACAGCTGTCCTGAAAACCTGAATTATGTTCAGATGTGACAAACTAACATGTGCCAAATGCTGAAGAAAGCCTGTGAGGAGAGCATGAAATTTTTCATTATGCAACCTTTATATACGTAAAAGAAATGTTAACCAAGAGACATATGCTTGGGACTGTGTCATCCCAATATTTTATGAAAATACTGGAATAGACCTTAACAGCATGAAGTGAAACAAGCAGCACACTGCAGCTTCATATGGTTAAAATAAGGCATACAGTTGAAGCTGATGCTGTAATCCAACTCTACCTTGGAGAAGGTAAAGAACAAGCAGCCAGAAAAAAATGACCCTTGATGTCACTTGGAGCCACCACTTGTAGAAGAACGGAAAGAAAACAACTCTCACGATTCCTTTGCGGGTCAAAGATGTCCAAGGACTTTCAGGTTTTGCTTTAGCAAAAGCAGATCCTTTAAAAATAAAGAAAAGAAATTTGAATTTATTTCATCATAATGGCTAACAGAAATCTCAGTTGTTCAACAGCAGAGTAGCTAAGACAGTGAAACAGTGGAAGTGCAAGATTTATTCAAATAATTGCATTTAATAACTGCTCCTTTAAATAACCATCTCCTCAATCCAAATATGGCATACATTGTTGATGCCCTCTTGACTGCCATTATCAGGAACTTCTACAAATACCTGTAATTTCAGAATGTTTGAATAACAAAACATTGCCATGTCAAAATTATTCTAGAACGAATTATTAAAAATTGTTCTGTTTCATAGAGGTATCAGAAGCTTTATACAAAGCAACAAGTCTCATGAAAACTCCACAGGCTGTGCAGGCACAGCAGAGTCCCTTCCCAACACAGAAAAGGGATCTAAAATACCAACACCTGTAAATTGCACCAGCCAGGTCATTGAGGAAAATTGAATGAGGTTGGGAAGCACTGAAGGGAATCTGTCCAGTTGAGGACCAGCCCCAGGGTATTGAAGGGTAAGGGGATAAAAAGGACTGGTCACACAAACAGCCACTGCCCAGAGTGCAAGCCCAGAGCTCCCATCGGGCATGAGGCTCCAGGGACAATGTGGGTGAGGCTCCGGGGACAATGGGGGCGAGGCTCCGGGGACAGAGAGGGTGAAGCTCCGGGGACTGAGGGGCTGAGGCTCCAGGGACTGAGGGGGCTGAGCCTCCAAGGGACAATGGGGACGAGGCTCCAGGGACAATGAGGATGAGGCTCCGGGGACAATGGGGATGAGCAGGCCTCTGGAGGCCAAGGCTGGGTGTGAGGGTGCCCAACCTGCACTGCCCGGCTTCCTGTGCTGGCTGCTGGGCTCATGGGTAAAAACACTAAATAATGTTTTCCCTAGCCTTCACAAGGCATAAGGGAAATTACATGCAGATAAGAATAATTTAGGAATAAATAAATACTTTTAGAAAAGTCTCATATCATCTGACCTTCTGTTGCCATTTGCAAGAAACAATCAAGGCCTATACATTTTTATCCTCCAGAAACTTCAACGTAACATTCCCTCCAGATGTCAGAAGACTTAAAAGAAGTCTAAATGCCTGCAGTACAAACTAGTAAACTAGTAACTAGTAACTCTGAAATTATATAAGACAATGCACAAGACAATAATAAAATATATAAGACAAACTAGTAACACTAAAATGATATAAGACAATGCACAAGTTTCTTTCCTTTTTTTTTTTCAAAATCCAGACCTATACAACAAAATTTAAATTAAATAATTAAATTCTTAATATTGCAATTTAATCTTAATATCATTATTTAACAATGTTTTCTATCCACCTGCTTTAGGGAAGAGTTATGTAGTGTTGGCTGCGTTTTGTTTCATTTGGGGGTTTTTTAAACCTACTAATCCACTTTTGTTACAAGACATAGGATGGCTGTTATTTAATACTGAGAAATTCAGCTTTTTCTAGCTCAGAACTCACCTCTTACAAGATCAACATCTATGAGGTCTGGTTTCACATGTCCTGTTTTCTTTGGTTTGTTTCTCAAACCCTGCAATAGATAAATACTATCAAAATACTTTCATGCAGATGACAGACATTAAAAAAGACAAAAATATATCTGTGGTCAGTAATTGTATTTAACCTATACTGCTACTGAAAATTCAGACAAACATGTCAACTTCATAGATTTAAATTATTATAAATTAAGCATTCCAAATAACAATGTACAATGGATGCCTTTTACACACTTTACAATCTGTATAAAACCCAATTACTGACCCACCAGGCTATTTTTCAAACAGACACTGAGCACTCATGGCTTTGCATTATGCAGACAATGTATGCACACACTTGCAAGAATTAGTAATATATTTCTAGTAGCTTTTCAGAATTTTTGCAACAAATTACATTCTTGAATCTCTTTTCTCCTTAGATGTCTAATTCAACTTCACAAAACTCTTACACTGCAACTCCTTAATTCCAAACCCAGATAGCAAATCACACTGCAATGTAGGAGGCAGTAATCAGCCAGCTCTCAGAAATCCAAATTCTAGGAAAGTATTGAATTTTTCCTCAGTACTGAATATAGATTAGCCAATTAAAAGGAAGGGAAAAATCCCACACAACAGGAATGCAGCAGGAAGAAAAGCAAGCTTATTTTTTTCTTTAAGAAGCAGCATCTTTGATCACAGAAGAACCAAACTCGCTGGCAAAGCTTTCAAGTTTGTTTTTAATGCTAAAATTTGATGCTGTACTCTCAAGTCTCAGAGATAGCTGTGAGTTTATTCTGCTCCCCTTAGCTTAGATTCTTGGTCACATTAGACAGTAAGGAAATCACAGCATACAATTCATACAGAGTAAAATAAAATATTTCAAAAAATATTTAGGATACAAATGAAGCTATTATGAAAACCATTTAACTGTTCTCATTCAAAAACCATGTAAATTGGTGAACTGTACATTTCTATCATTGCCAAAGCTTATCCATGTGTAAAAACACTACTAAAACATAAACATTAGGTATAAATGGAAGCATATAAATGAAATTTTTGTCAATGAGAAACAGATCAGTGAAATCTGGTAGTGTTAATCTTCGTAAGAATAATATCAAGCAAAATGTTCAACTGAATGCAGCTCAAAATATTTCTCACATCTAAATTAAACTGGATTTCTTTTTCATGCAGAAATAAAGATAAAAAAATCAATCTGAAACAAGCTAGATATGTAGTCATTACCTATTGTGTTTATTAGAAAAATGAGTTTACTTGAAACAAAAAAAAGAATACACAACTGAAACATGAATAGGACAAAATGTGCTCTGAGGATGAAAAATAGACACAACCAGTTGTATTTTAAATGCAAGCACTATAAAGACCTTATAATGCAAGATTTTTACAGAACTGCAGTAATTTTATGTGGAATGAGAAAAGAAACCCATAATTAGAATTGGAAATTACCATAATTCTAGAATCAGCTACAGATTCTTGTGAATTTTGCATAAGTGAGCCACTCCATTTCATAAAGAAAACTGAGGTTTAAAAAGAAAATGCTGAATGGTATAGTCATTTTCAAATGTATTAGTGCTTATGGACCACAAGATCTCTCTTGAAAGTCTAAATAAAGATGTGCCTCTTGGAAGAAATAATCTCCAAGAAGCACATGCTCAATCTTAGGACAAATTTACCACTGTGGCTCAAATTATGTTTTCATGTTAAAGAAAGAACTCTGAAGAATCTAAGTCAAGAGTACAACTTGATGTGACCTTCAGAGGAAAAGAAATGGTGAATCATTTTTTAAAAATTCCATTGGACAAACAGTACTTTCAGATCCATTGACTTCACTGAGTTGGCTCCTGAACTGTTTGCCACATACAGTAGAAGCATTCCATTTATTCAGATGCAATTTCTACACTTAATGCATCACAAATCTCTAACATACATGGAAAACAGCAGTTTCAGACTAGGGTTATTTAAAAAAATATTCAGTGTTTCATAATGCTCAGATCCATCCAGTTAATTCATATAATTTCTATTCAGCACCAAACACTTTTCAAGTAAGCATTAGCAAAAGAACGTTTAAGTAAGAATACTTAAAAAATAATTGTTATTATTGTAAAAACTCTTTTACACAAATTTTAAAATTAATCTTAATAGATCCTATTACAGTTATAACTAAATCATAAATGTGTAATAAGAGAAATGTATTTTCTACTACAATATATTAATTTTTCAGATTTTTAGCAATGTTAATCTATAAATCATTACATAATCATTTCTAAATTTATAATGTCAAAGTGCTGTAGGAGCTTTGAGATTAAAGCACTTGTGTGCAATCCCTGAACTTAGTCATGTGCCTTGGTGTTACCCGAATTGCACTTCACTCAGTCAACCCAAACTCAGACACCACCATAATTTTTTAGTTATTGGACTCCTGAGCCAAACAAGATGCTGTTTGCAGTCAGCATTTTTTTGCAGTATTTGCAGTAACTATTTGAGCAATGTGCTATCACACAGCAGTTAATTAATGAACTCCTCTCAGAGCTCTGATGGTTTCATGGCCATGGGAAGAAGGACCCTTCAGGCAACCTGAGGCTCAGCTGTGCTGCTGAAATACCATGGGGTCCAACTCAGTGAAAAACTGTAGCTCAGGTCAGGAACAGCTCCCACAGAAGCCAAGCAAGCCCCCACATACAGTTTTAAGTCCTGCAGAGTGAAAAAACCCATCCCCGAGGAAACTGAAGCAATGTCCATTTTACTGATGTTAAGTAATGGCAACACCTTGAAACTCATGCAGAAATAGCACAATACTTCCATGCAGTGTTGGAGGGGAAAAAAAGATTAATTGCAAGAAAATGTTGACTAAATTAACACCATGGGTATTTCATATACAACCCACAGAACTGGTACCTATAGGAGTGATTCCTTTATCTCCAAAGCGATTTAGCAACGTGGCAGACACTGATGGTACTGTTAGTTAAACCAAAATGCACAGAACACTGTTAAACTGCTTGTTCAGAGAAACAAAGCCTGAGGTACTTACCAGTCTAATAAACTGTACAAAACAATGACAGCATCATAAAGGAGGGAAAGTAAACTGCAGGTATAAGGTAACTAACTGAAAGCAAAGAGAGCTCAGATAACTGACATTAGAATTCATCACAAAGAAAAGTGAAAGACAGAGGTATTAACACAAGTAAGCTCTGTCTTAAGATAAGTGAAAAGAAAAAAAAGTACTGAGATACAGAAAGATGCATCACACTAAACGGTGCAGAGTTATTAATTATGTAAAATAAATAGAGCATAGTACACTGGTTACATTTGGTTACACTCCAGAAGTGTAGTTTTACTTTACCAGTATTAAATACCACCACATACAATGTAAATTACTTCAGCATACACAACCACAAAAAAAAAAAAGGCTGCATTATTACCTTTATTTCTCTTTGCTCTACTGATTTTTCCCATATTTGTTGATCATATGCTCCAATCTAAAAAGAAAAAAAACTCTACATTAGGATTTAAAAGATATTGATCAAACAAAATCAAATCAACCTTCAACAAGAGAAGCACGAAGCCAGCAAGTTATTTCCTTGGGGAGTTTACAAACAAATTTTTATCTTCTCCATTCCATCTTGGCTGGGCAGGATCAAACTAATCTGTAATGGAACTGTGACAGAGGGGAGAGCTGAAAGTCACACAATCCCAGCCTCAGCCCAGGACTTGTGCAAGCCCAAGCACTGGGAAGATCACACTCCCTCCACCCCAGGTCAGGACTGCAGCCTCCACGAGAGAGAGCAGAATTATGGCAGCTACACTGACATGGTCTTTCAGATAACTTCAAAAGAAATATGCACATCTAGTTGAACCCATACCCCCAATTCATTTTTTTTAAACCATCTATAATTCCTATTCCACTCCACTCACTTTTAAAAGCAGATGGTATTAGCTTTACCTCTTGACAGTGCACAACAACCAGATATATGGTCAGGCTGGTAATCAACCAGCTTATAGCCCAGGGGGAACTCAATGGATATCAGGAAACAGCACTTTTCCCCATTGACTGTCAGATATTTACAGGAAGGGCAACCTGAAACTTCAGGATTTAAGATGGTGACAAGAACAAGTCAATATACGAGACAACATATCCAAGTCTTGTAAGAAGTTATCAAAGATAATCAGATTGCTTTGAACTCTACACAAACAGTATTTCTAGGCAATAATCAGCAATAATCTCTTTTACTATGATGATTTTAAAACCTTGCCATCCCAGCTGCTCTACCTAGACACATAAATCTTGTGTATCTGGGGACTGATTCACATCACACACTCTGAGCAGTTAAGTGTAAGATCACTTTAAGGTCACAACAGAGAGACAGGTGCAGTTCCTGGGACTCAAAGTTCCTTTTCCAGCCTGCAGAAGTGACAAGCAGCTCAGTCAGACACCTGACAGAGAGGGGAGAGGAACAACTGCCATCACCTGTGCAAACCTGCACAAATTCCATCTTACTGCAAGGGTGTGACTCCTCCTTCCAGTTCACAGCTGCAGCAGACATAAGAGACCCTAGCACAAGTGCACACACCTTGTACAAGAAATCATTGTTTTCATTTTTCTTTTAGTATTTCAGCCTTCAGCATTAATGTAGATGTTATAAAAGAAAGACAGAAAAAGTCATTCTTAATTAAAAAGAATCTTTTAACCAAGGATCCAACATAAACGCAGAAAAAATACTCAGGGAAACTACCACACACCTACATAAACAAAGAAATCTAAAGGCATCTTCTGTGCCTCTAAACCTGACCAATTAGTGGAAATAAATAAACATTTAAAAAATCTAATTTAGAGGAGTAAATCCCAAAGCATATCTAAGATTGAAAATGAGAACAACAAACTGAATTACTCTCTCCCAAATTTAAATAATGTTTCCCATGCAAAAGAGCTAAACAATTTCTATAGTTTGCTACTTTTAAACTTTGCAAAAGAAGCAATGTACTGGCTTTTTGGTAATAATAAATACTTTACACTTCGCATTTGGAAAAAAATAAAAGAAACTGTGGAAAATAATTAGGGAGTCAGGCACAGTAGTGGGCAGAATTAAGCACTTACTACAATTAAAGTAATTAAACCAAAGGAAGTTTAACAGCTAACTCCACCTGGATAACAGCCAGCAATTAAAAAGTCAATATATTGAATAACCACTCCACCCAGGCGTTTACAGCTAATTGTTCTGGCTTTTTCCTCTAAATACATTTCAAATGAAATTTCAGGCCTTTCTGCTTTTCATTAAATTTGCTAAGAAGAGCCTGAGTAAAATTTGTGTGCTGCACAACATTGTGTCCTCCCCTCCCCAATTCCAAAAAAGTTTCCTTCTACAAGGACAGAAGGGGGGATGCAAGTCTGTGTCCCTCTTAAGCAGCAACCAAACGAGGAAGGAAAGACTTTCTGCCAATAAAGCTGCAAAGCAAACTCCATAATTCCATTCATAGCTGAAACTAGTTTAGAGTTGAAAGTCATTAAAACAGTGTTCTTCTTTTAGACAAATACCAGACCATTTGTTAAAGGAATTCTAGGAAACAGACTCCAGAAGATATCTAACATAAGGAAGTCAACTGATTTTACATCTTTATTATATTTTCCTACAAATATTTCTTTTCCCTCTTTAGACAGCAGCTTCCATCTCCACAAAAGGCAAGAAGCAGAGATATTGCCATTCACATTTCTCTTTTAACACTGCCCTATAAAGCAATTATTCCATCAGGAGGTAAAATAAGAGATCCAGAACTACTTTAAAGGACAGGGTCCTCTATAACTGTTTTACTGGAGAAGTGGATCTGTCCAGCCACCTCTGATCACCTTCGGTTATTGACATCTGAGCACAGGAGTGTTCAGCAAGGCATGCTGGTGGGAACTGAAAGGAAAGGAAGAGAGAATTGCAGACAGCAAGTACCATTACAGCCTCTCACATAGTTTTTGTTGTTGTTTGAGGTTTCTTTTTTAATCTACTTCATATCACCTCTTCATGTTTTAACAAAGTTCAAGCAGGTGTGTGTGCCACTCAGCACATCAAATTCCAACCTGATACTCAACCTTCCTTCTCATCATCTGCATAAGCATCCCTCTAAACTTCTCTTCCAAATGTATCAGATGAAAATACATGAAAACAAAGGCAACATTATAAAGTAGAATACTGGATACTGGCACACTTCATTTCCCACATTAAACAAAAATAGGTAGAACTAGTGTTACTCAAACAAGGCAAGTGAAAACCACAGGCATTTTTTTTTCTCTCCCTTATGTCAGGAAAGCAGATTTAGAGTTTGTGAAATGTGTCCTGCAGAATTCATTGAAAGGTACATTTTCATTTACAATAAAATTATAACATATAATGACTACCAGAGATGCTAGACATGTATATGAATTAAAATCAACATAATTTGTGAATGAATTGAAGAAGGTAAGTTAATACTAGCAAACCTTCCTAGTTTTAAATTATTGAGTACACCAGCGGATTCCAGCTTCAAAGAGTTTGGATTTACAAGTATTTGCATTTGAATTCTGTTTTATGTTAAATCTAATGTAAATCTAAAACAAATATAGGCTCTTGGCTATTCATGCATTTCCTTACAACTGCACACACCTGCAGGACACGGAAAAGAAGCCTAGCACCTAATCTAGCACCAAAGAAATTAAGCTCTAAAGGCAAGTAAAAGGAAGGAATAACCTTCCTTTTAATAAGATAAGATCAGGTTGGAACCTGAATAATTTAAATAAACACAAAACTTGCTCAAGGAAGGTCTCCCTCAATAATCAGCTGTCCCAGGGCTCCTCCCGGCCTTGGCTGGGGCTGCTCTGCCAACAGGAATGCCCTGACCAACTCCAGTGCCCATTTACTGCCCTCCCACTGTGCCTGGAGCCTTATCCCTCACAGCTGCAAATTCTGCACCATCCTTGGGAGAAAATTTAAAGTACTAAACACAGGAGTCAAAAAAAGGTCCCATTTTTAAGTACACAATTGTAAGAAATGCTTCTAAAATCTCTTCAAGACTTAACACAAGACTCTTTGCGTAACAGCTCATCACTGATACTTTCAACCCATCAGTGTACTTTACAGTGGGCAATAAACTTCTCTTAAAGTAAACTACAGAACACAATATCCCAATTTCAAATTGACTTCACACAAAAATTTATTTTAATTTAATTTATGAAATACCTAATCCAAACTTGTATTCTATAGCATTTTTTTATTTGTTATGACTTGGCAGAAAATAAATTAACAAAAAGTTAGATAACAAGCCTATTGTCTTATTTTGAAATGCAACTTTTATCACCAAGCATCAACACAACCTTGTTACAGGATACTTGCCAGTAATATTTACAGATATTAAAAACTGTGCTATAACCTATCTGTAGCTGAGTTAGATGAAGTAGTAGATGTCATTTTATACAGAGATATCATTTTTAAATCGTGCACCCCAGGTCTACTCAATGCCAAGATTTTATCCAGTCTATCCAACTCAGCTACCTTTAAAATTCTGAAGATCCCACACCTCAATAAATACCAAGTAAAGAAGATAAAAGAGATTCTGCTCATTTATGCATTTGAAGAATTAGCAACCATTCTTCAAGCAACTATAAAAATTTTGAGAATATAAGGAATTAAATGCAACTGAAAACTGCAGCCAGTCTCTCACAACAGAGAAGCAGGTGTTTAACATCCTAAATTAACAGGGTACAATAAGCTTTTTTGAAAAAATTTTCTTGAAAAAAAATTTCCTCACAAGTAATCATTTAAAAAAAAATCTAACTTATATGTAACTTGGCATGGGAAATTACAATTATACATTTGGTAAACTTGACAAAGCCAGCTCTTGACTGAAAGATTAAATAAATTGGAGATCCTTTTTAAGGGCAAACTCATAACATTTTCTGGGTTTAAAAGATATGTGCATCTCCTGCAATTATCTAAAAATAACTGCACTTACTCTTGCCCAATCAAATACGTCAGGAAGCATTTGATCAAATTTCTTCATACATGTGAAATTTGGCACCTGTACAGCTTGGCTGTATAACAGCAATAGCAATTAGCTTAAGTGAAGAGTTAAGCCATTGAAAACACAGCAATATTTAGTTCAAAGCACAGTGGAAAGGGCTTTAGCACTGCTCAGTGTTTCTTCCTGGTGCCTTTCTCACAGTGAGCCACGTGTGCATCAAGATTGAATTTGAGCTTTGTGAATGACACTGATATTCACTTTAGGCTAATGTAGTGATGCTATCAACCTGTAGCCCAATACTCACAAGGCCCTTCTGATTCTAATGGAATTGATCAATATTTCAAGAGGCATTTATAATTTATGAGCACGCAGACTAGCAAAGATTATAATCCTAAGAATACATAGTATTTCCTCTTGGATCTTAAAACTTTAATGTTTATCAATAATGAAACTTGTGTGCTAAACTTTGCTCTTTAAAACCTCTGAACACTTTTACAAG